GTTCTACTAGCACGAGAGGCTGTATTTTCTGTCTATATGTTTGCACAAATCGTTCTTTCACGCTCTGACGAGCTTTTCGAAACACCTTCCGACGAACCGGAAATGTTACATTCTATACTTTCGAAGTTACCCAAACCTCTCGATCTCCAATCTCTCATTTCAAATACTATCAAATTATTCGAGGAGCATCCACCTGAAACTCTACCCTCCTGGAGATCGATATCCTCATCCAGCGTCCTCAAAACCGCTCGTTGGTCTGATCAAGTCACAAAACAGAGCCTCCAAGATGGCCAGAGATATTTTACACAACAAGTGAAGGAATTACAATGGGCTGCAAAGCGCGATGAATTATTTAAGATGGTGCGGAAATATAGACGGCCTGCGAAGGCAATCGGAGTTGCGGTTTTGGTCGGAATTTTCTCGTATTATTGTTTGCCTCGGTCGAATCTACTAGAACGACGCTGGACGTCCATATTTGGGGTGCTCTGGGGATATTTGCGCGGAGATTCCAATAATTATTGAAATACTGGGAAGGAAGGCATATCGGTTGTGTATAAAGGCTAAAGGGATATGGGGAACGGAGTATAGACGGCATGGTTGATGGCTGCGAGGGCGAAGGCTTTTCTACAACGTAAACTTCTTGCAGCTCTATGTCTATCATAATAAAAGTTTTTTGTTTTCCTGCAGAATTACAGCATGGATGATCAAAATAGTATACTTCGATGAGTACACGCGCTCAAAAACTTTCAATCCAGTATGAAAAAGAAGAGCAGGGTTAAATGCCCTCCCCAAAAGCGTTCTTTAATCCCTCAAAATGCGCCCTCTGTTCCCCAGCCAATTTCCCCTCCACATCCCCCACAATGGTCAATATCAACGAATAATTATTATACAAAAATCGTTCCTTCTTTCTCTTATCCGGCATAATCGCCGCACACTTTGACAAAAACGCTTCCATCTCGCTTCTCAGTCTCGCTAGACTACTCGCCACGGGTTCATCATCTCCAGCTTCCGTGCTTAGTTCCAAAATGCCCTGAAGAAATTGGCCGAAACGTTGAGTCATGAAATGGGGGGCGGCGGATTGTTTCGCTTGTTCTGAAGCCGATGGTTTTCGGGTGGGGAGGGCCGAGGTCAGGGTGCGGACCGAGTCGCAGTGTGTGTCCATTGTGAGTTGGAAGCGCGGCCAGAGGAGCATGGATGTTGCGTTGATATATGAATCTACGACAGGGATTTTCCGGCGCTGGAGAGAAAATGCAAAATGTTGGTTAAGACGCACGCACAGGAGGAGACCAAGACAATCGTGTGACTCATGGACGAGGGATTTGGTGATCGATTGGCCGAGGGAGAAGGTGGGTTCGAAGATATAGGTGAAGTAGCGAGAGATGGTTGCGTAGGTTAGTGACGGGGAGAAGAATGAGGTTAGGAAGGAGTATTCGGCGGAAGCGTTGTCGATTAGGGCGAGGTTGAAATTCCGGAAGGGGAATTCCATGTAATGAGTTTGTTTGTCTTCTTCTGCTAGAAAGGACGGCAGTGCAATTTCGTTGGAGGTTTTGAGAAGATCGATTCGTCGACTTAAATTGAATGCATCATGTGGTGGACCTGTTTGTTTAGACGCGGAGAGGAGCGTGGTCTTGCGAGATCCATCATCTGACCCGAGAACATCGTGTCTGTCCAACACATGGAGCTTGATCTTTTCCAATGCTTTTGCGTACCGTGTAAATTGATTGAGAAAGTACCATCGCATCGTATTCATATATGCTTGACCAAGTTCCTCGGCCAATTTTGGGTGATGTCTATGCAAGAAAGCATAGAGATCTTTGTAACGTAGGAAGTGCTGCTGTTGAATAATCTGGGCATTTATATTGGGGGATCGCAAAGCTTTCACTTGAGCAACGAGGAAATCTCGGATTCTTTCCAGTGCCTAGATGTAAAAGTCAACATATTTGTAGGCGAGATCAGGATAGGGGAACCTACCTTAGACACTAGATTCTCCAATAGAGGCTTGAGATCATTAACCCCCTTTATATTCTGTTGTTCCTTTGATTTTGCATCGATAGCCTTTGATCGCTTCTCGATTTCCGCCAATGCTCGAACCCAAGCTTCATCTATAGCTCCATCCACAATCTTCTTAACGACGGCTGGGGAGACGCTGATCTCCTCCACTATAGGTCCAAGTCCATTCTCTACCACCTTTCGATTTTCCAACCGTACACTCAACGCCGTTGATCGTGCTTGTAGAGTTTCGATCTCCGCAGAAACCATAGCAAGATCGTTCTGAAAGCTGGTGAGGTTTATTTCGACGGAATTTAGGACATCATCGCAAGCGCGAATCGATCTGTGGAGATCTTCAAACTTATCCATATCACGCTCATCTATTCAGCGCATCAGCAGTAGTCGTTGTAAATTGACTGGGTGGCACACATACATTCTTCAAGTGTTTGTGATTTATATACATGCTCATCCTCAGTGACAGAAGGTTCCTCTGCCACGATATCTTGTAGACTTAAACCTTCGAAGTCCCATTCGCCTTCATCATCTTTCTCTCTTATGGGAGCGGCTGTTCCATTTATGGCTCCCAAGCCCTTCGCAGGTGGTGATTTTGCCTCTTCTCCATTGTTTAATATTCTTCCTAAAACCTCTAAAGGATCTGGCACATTGGGTGGTGTAGCTGCTTGTTTGGGGTTCGACCCGTTGGGTCTCCGCGATGGTAGCAAGGATGTACTGGAGTCATTGGAGACTAATGATAGGGAAGAGGATCTCGGATTAAATGGAGGTCTACCGCCGACTGGTAATGGCGCAAGATGAGTCGGACGACGAGGTAGACTGGGGTTCCTATTTAATGGTGGAGGTGGAGAAGCAGAAGGTGTTGTATGTCCAGATAATCGGTCTAATGACCACATCCTGATGGCCGAAATGTAAACCAATTAATTCTTCGTAGCTATGCGCCAATCGTAGATTAATTGTCAAGAGATCTATGCATTAAGTGAAGTACTGGAGGTATTGCTCCTCATCGTTGTAATATAAGTAAAGTAAAAGGGAGCTTCAGCTTATCGATATCGAACAGACCAGATTATCGAAAAAGGCATTCCTCAGCACACATAGCTAGCTTTCAAACAGTTGACAAAGCAAGATAATGGAAAATTATTACCTTCGTTACCTACAGAACAATATAAGGAATAGCTCAACAAGTGCACCTGAATGCAAGAGGCTCTCATACTTAATTAATCTACCTTGAACAAGGTTTGAATTGTTGGTGAAGGGAGTGGGAAATCTGTTGATTGATAGTGATAACTGCAACCCTCAGATCCTCAGCCACTTCCCACTTATCACTTATCGACTCGCTGAAAGATAGCGGTGCCGTATTTCTAATCCAACTCTTGTATATAGCATAAATCGAAATACAATTGGATAAATACGAGGTAGGTAGATACTAGCTACTAGGTACACATCTTAGATTGATATCAAATATATATCAAATATGAATTGTTGATACAAACACCTAATCCCACTCCGAAACCTGATTTGGGATTAGCAGTCCGCTACAGACAGGTACCTACTGCGTAGATATGCTCTCTCATGCCCAATATCTTCCATATACAGTTGTACAGAGGACTTATTATACGCCAAAATGCTGCTCTGGATTTTTCAGCCACCCTCACAATTTAACAGAGTATTTATCCAATGTCCATAATAGGAATGAAGTCAAAATGAATTTATTTAATTGGTTCAATCATCTCCACCCTTGACTTTTTTTTTACAAGAAAATGGAACTAATGGGTCGCTAATAAAAAGCGAACATCCTCCTAGTCTCTAAAGTAGAATTCCTCCACACACCACTTGACAAAAAACCATCTTCTTCTTCCTCGAATTTCTTCTTCACACCTCTTAATCTTTTCGCAATCTTATTCATCGCGAATACTCGACCCGATCAATTTTTATTCAACCCCACGAATTCCTTTGCAAATTTTTCAAGATGTCTGGAGAAGCCCAAGTCGATGACTCTCAAGTAAGATAGAATTTTGTCTTTTCTTTTGTGTGTCGACTTCACCCCGCACATGAACTCTTTCCCCCCACCAAAATGGCTTTGCGCGCATATCATCAGAAATCCACGACGACGAGGACGATAAAACTTGATAACTAACTATTTTCTCTTTTACAGCATGAGCACACCTTCGATTCTGCCGATGCTGGTGCATCCGCCACCTACCCTATGCAATGTTCTGCCTTGAGAAAGAACGGATTCGTAGTCATTAAGGGCCGCCCTTGCAAGATCGTCGACATGTCTACCTCCAAGACTGGTAAGCACGGTCACGCCAAGGTCCATTTGGTCGCCATCGATATCTTCACCCAAAAGAAGCTTGAAGAACTCTGCCCATCCACCCACAACATGGATGTCCCCAACGTTTCCCGTATCGAATACCAATTGGTAAGAATATCTGGTTAAATTTTGGTATCCCCGCTGACGAGCATTCACAGCTCGATATTACTGATGATGATTTCCTTTCCTTGATGTCTGAGGGAGGTGATCTTAAGGATGATGTTAAGTTGCCAGATGGAGAGGTTGGACAGAAGATTCGTGCACTTTTTGATTCCGAGAAGGAGACCAGTAAGCAACATACGCTCAAGGAAACTTCAATACACTAACACATTTACCTTGTAGACGTCATTGTCCTCACTGCCATGGGTGAGCAACTTGCTATCGATGGAAAGGAGGCACCAAAATCTGGTTAAATATTTTTCAAACAATATCAGACCTGGAATTTCGCAATAGCATGGGTTGTTTTGTGTGTAGATCTGTTCGCTGGAAGGTCCTTTACATTTAGAGGAATGTGATGCTTTCGGATATCTACATTCTTATGGTCTACGTTGGGCGATTTGATCTACGAAACCTTGGTCACACTGGTTATCTTATCTCTTCTGGCAGTCCCAATATCATAATTCCATAGCATTTTACTGTGTGCTTTTCTATGATATTGCTTGACCGGCGTAGTCAAGCGGGTATGCTACAAATTCTCAGTAAAAAATTCAACGAAGTTTGTTTCCTCCCAATCAATTAAGTTCCTATGTGAAATGCATGAAATTACATTTTCATTTGGTGAAGTAGTGATAGATAAATAACAGTAGAGGCAAAAAACAGAAAACTATGTCAATATACCTACTAGTCTCCGCTCCTAGCGCCCGCTCATAAACGAATTTGGGAAATGAGACTTCAAGAAATCTGTTGTACATGACAACCAAACATCTTTATCCCCAAAACCTTTCAAAGTGCCGAAGTTTTGTGTGAATCATGTCTTCGGCGATTGATTACCATAAATTTCGGAAAGGAGAGACCTGTAACGAAGAAGGATGTCGCGCTCGAAAATTCTACATCGAAGATGGCAAAAAGTTTTGTCAGCGAGGTCATGAACAAGCCGTTCGTAAACTTCCCTAATGAATATGATCATAAAATAACAAAATCTAGGGTTTCACACAAACCCAGCAAGATGAAGATGACTGGAATCAGCAAGGAAAAAAGTCGAGAAGAAAGCGAGAAGAGAAAGAACAGGTGGAGAAGGTTTTTGGGGGTCGTGACGCCACCCAACTCTATTTACAATGTTACCAATTAATTCTTTGGAAACAAATCCACTGGCTGGTGAGTGTGAAGGGATTTCCAGCCGAGCTAGAGACTGTCGTAAGAGACTTGTGGGAATTGAGGTTGAGAGTTTTGCAAGGTTCTCGAGACGTGAGAAGTGAGTATGGGACGGAGTTTGGGTCGACGACAGAGGGAGACGACACGGATACAGATGGAACGGGGTACAGAAGCACGACTTCAACCATTATGAGTAGGAAAAGGGCATCGAGAGTGAAGAAAAATCTCCCCAAGTTAATTGAGACGTTGGGGTTTTGTTACCTTGGAATATTACTTTTGAGATTGCCTACAAGCTTAGGGGAAATATACAAATGGGCGACCAGAGATGAGATTATTTATACACGAGCGGTAAGTGAATTCATGTGTTATAATATGTGTTTCGACTGAACCATTTATCTGTAGGTTAAAGAAATACCCAAAGATATGAGAACTCGACTACCAGGCCGTTACTTCAGAGCTCTTGAAATCCATGGCATCTTAAATGGTCATCGACTTCATCAAACAGTATTTGATATGATTTCTTTCTATAATTTTAATTTTGAGATGGTATTTCCACCAATTAACAACAAACTACTTTTACACAAGCATATTAGGGATTTGGGTCTTCCAGGTATGTCCTCTTTATCAGCCTCGCAGTTTTGTTCAGATCTAACCTTACTCAGTTGACATTTACACGGCTGTGAATCATCTCACGGAGATTCTTAAATATGACTTTTCATACCCAATCCATAACAAACGTGTATATGGAACAAGCGGATTCCCGGAGTATCAACTCATCAGTCTGGTAGTCATCGCTACAAAACTTAGCCAGCCATTCGACGACATTGTCCGTCATCCAGACAGCGATCTAGATCCCACAGCCGCAAGGATCAATTGGAAAAAATGGCAAAACATTATGGCTGAAAATCCTAGTCAAGGTTTGAAGCGTGGAGATGAAATCAAAATCACAGATGGGGATGTTTTCAAAATGACAGGAGCACAAATGGACGATTGGATGAATTGGTATCACACAACTTGGGTCGATGACAGAGACCATAAAGGCAAGTAAATCATATATTGTTGTATGGACCTTTTGTTAAGACTGTGAATAGTACCTCAACAGATTTTGGAGCTGTTTCCTTTGCCGGATATCTCAGTCGAGACGACGCTGGGTATAGTCGATCCAGATCCAATTAACCGGGCCAAAGAGGTTCATAAAACATTAACTCTCCAGAAGCCAGCAGCTCGTGTGGATGATGAGGAACGTGGAGGTATTGTCCGCCCAGGTGAAATGTATAGAAGGTATCGGACGGTTGAGGAGTTACCTGAAAGTGCTAAAGCTTTTTATGAGATTGCTGGTAAGTTGTCTTCTTCGAATCTCTCTGTGCTTTGATTAACCATAGGATAGCCAAAAATGTCGGGACATCTCTTGAAAGATTGGTACATGGTGTTTTTACCACAGAAATTCAATTGGAGAAATGGATGCTAGATGAACGGAGGAAAGATTTATTAGAGCAGGAAGAGGTTGGGAATGGACAAAAGGGGTGGAAACATGACGCAAATGAGGACGATGACCAAGAAGAGGACAGGAATCAAGAAGAGATAAATGATGAGAGAGATGAAGATTCTCCTATGAAGGAGTAGATTAAAGGAATTCCTTCGATTTTTTGCGGTTCTTGAAGTATTGGTTCTTGTCCGGATATTTGGAAATGGGTACAATTTTGTTCGAAAAGATACATCTGGCGTTGAAAATTTATCATAGATACCCATAGGAATAATCAATCCCAAAGCTTTTCAAATCCAATACCCGTCTGCTGTGTTCTTTATTATTCATTCATCCGTGATATTCTCTGTCGTTTTGACCTTGATGGCTATGATCATGAATAGCCTAAAATTCGAGGGTTATTGATTGTTCATGTCATGTGATTGGATGCGCTAGGGTTTTTCTCGCTTCCCAACCCACATTCTGCAAATTCGACTTGACTTGGGACTTCGAAATTTAGATTTCCACGACAACAACGACAATCGAAGAACCTCAGCAACCAGTAAGTTATACTGATCATACGGTCATACGAAATGTTTACGAGCAGTTACTGATTTTATTTGCGATTTTAGTGCAGATGTAAGAAACCCCACGATACTACACTCATCACCTTCCATAGGATCATGCGATTTCGATAGATCGCTTGCGACGTTTAAAATGCGAATTGGAGGGCAGCACTGATGATATAATAATAGCTTCGTCAAGACCCTTACGGGCAAGACCATCACTCTTGAGGTCGAGTCCTCTGACACTATCGACAATGTTAAGGCCAAGATCCAAGACAAGGAGGGAATTCCTCCCGATCAACAACGTTTGATCTTCGCTGGAAAGCAACTTGAGGACGGACGTACTCTTTCAGATTACAACATCCAAAAGGTACGAATATATCATACTCTGGACCGAATCGGGAAGTTTGGATAATTTAGGGGGACCTTATCGCGACCAAAGGGCTATACGGAGGAATCGCGGAATGAGAGTCTGGGACCCAATTGATTGACATGATGTTTTACAGGAATCTACCCTCCACTTGGTCCTCCGTCTCCGTGGTGGTATCATCGAGCCATCTCTCAAGGCCCTTGCCTCCAAGTTCAACTGCGAAAAGATGATCTGCAGAAAGTGCTACGTACGTCTTTCGATCTTTCAACGTTATCCAGCAGCCCAATACTAATCACAAATTTAGGCCCGTCTCCCTCCCCGTGCTACCAACTGCAGAAAGAAGAAGTGCGGACACACCAACCAACTCCGCCCAAAGAAGAAGCTCAAGTAAATGTTTCGCTCTTATGGCGTTTGGGTTCACAGGGAGATTGTGGAAGGGAGGATTGGTGCGCGGATATATCGATGGATTATTTACATGGCCGGCTCTGTATTTGAGAACAATAGCATGAGGCAAATGAAGCAATGAGACGATTATTCAGCACACCAATAATAAATATCTTCATCAACACATCTTCGTGTGCAGTTGAAGTTGAAGTCCATACATATTTCCTGGCCCGAGCCAATTTGTTGTGAGTTCAGAGTTCCAGTTCCTGACTTTTGGTTAAGCCTGGAGGACCTCTTCCTACCCAGCAGGGCGGACAAGCCTTTCAGTACTTTCAGTTACGGATCCTGTAACTTTACACCACCATATCCTACAGTGGTACGGCAACAGAATATGGCTCCAGTGATAATTGTTATTCCGGATATCACGATCTTGGTCACATTTACTTCAAGGCGATCACTAAACGGACAAAGAAAGTCGAGGCAGAAGTATAGGATATGTTTATTCCATTTGATGCATATAAAGTGGTTGGCAAATCGCTTTCTACGAGGGATTCTAGTAACATTATAGGTCAATTGATGCCTAGTACATTTACATGATTATCACAACGTATAGTATTAAAAGAATATCTTGGATAAAGTATGTAAAAAGTAGTTGACGAGAAATAATATAAAAAATCAATAACCTGAGCCTTACTGAACTTTCTGATATCATCCGTCGCCTCTTATCAACAGATAAATGGTCGCCTTACAAGGATGTCTCCACCTGCATCACTAGCGCGCCCATCTCCAGATTCGCAAGCTGTCCGAAGCTACAACACCACCCAAGCAAATAGCACTTCCTACAACCACCAAATCTCTCCAGTTGTAGCAAAACGATATGTCAGGAGCTGGATATGATGTTGTTGTCGATGTGGATGAGGAAGTATGTTCATCTTGTGTCACCCCTCGGAACTTGCTCCCCAATCTCAGTATCCAAAACCGCATCAACACTAACAAAAACAGGGCGATCTAGGCCACACTGATCTCCAAGAAGATCTCTCCTTTCACAACTCCAATTTCGAAGCTAATCCCTCCTCGTCCCGCAATAAGCCTACATCCCCCGGTCTTCCCGCCCCGGCCACTTCAAGTGGTCCCAGTAACTCTAAACGTTACCTTTGGTCCCTCCATTTCTACTCCCAGTTCTTCGATGTGGATACTTCTTCCGTGTTAGCACGTTGCTGGGCAGCTTTGTATCCTCGCGCAAATTTCTTGGATGTGCTGGAGGGGAATCCGGATTTGTATGGTCCGTTCTGGATTGCTACGACGGTTATTTTCATTCTGTTTATGGGAGGGACAGTTAGTTTGTATTTGGCAGAGAGGGGTGAAGGGAGGTTTGCGTATGATTTTGGGTTGTTGAGTGGTAGGTTCTTCATTTATGTTTGACTTGCTTGGATGTTGAGGCAAATGCAAATAAGATGATACCAGTACTAATTCGATTTCCTCAACAGGCGCCGCAGGTCTAATCTATGGCTATACATTCGTAATTCCCATTCTTCTCTTCCTAGCCCTCAAATACTTCGGCAGTGAATCTGCCAACCTCCTCGAATGTGCCGCTCTCTACGGCTACTCCAACCTCGTATGGATTCCTGTCGCCTTGGTCTCCTGGTCATCCCTCACAATCATGAATTGGGTATTTGTAGGAGTTGGGTTTGGGTTGAGCGTTGCTTTTCTCCTCAGAAACCTATATCCAGTTCTCAGCGCTACGGACAAAAAGACAAGTAAAATACTGCTTATCTTAGTTGTCGTTCTACATGCGGGTTTGGCAATTGCTATCAAGGTGTTGTTCTTTGCGCATGGAAGTCCGGTGGCTAAGAAACCTGCTACGGAAGATCCTGCTAAGGGGGATAATCCAAGTAGAATGTTATTCTAGGGGCTTGGAGATTCTACGGTTATTTTTGCCTTATAGTTAGACTTTTGAGGAGAGATGAGTGAAAGTTGATCCAGATCAAGAGAGGAGGGAGTATTTTTAAGGAGTATAAGTCTATTTCAAAATCAAATCAATAGATCGATACCCATTATCATGTACGAATATATCATGTTATCTTATTGCTCAATGCATGTCTAAACTCCCTGCTCAGTCCTCATGTTTCTTTTCCATCATGGATTTGAGCTTGATTAAGATACGTAGGTATCTACAGAGTTGGTGCCCACAGAATTTAAGCTTTCAGAATTATAGCTTTGAGCTTCATTTTTGAAATGATTATTGTACTTATTGCTATCTGTTGATCTTATATTCTCTACGATGAATGGAGTTTTTATCAGATTTATTGTGCTTGAGTAGCAAGTTGCTCTCGGCTAGCTCCCGCTGAGCTCCTAGTGAGTCTCTCACAAATTGGTTGCTTTTGTCACTCCCGGTGAGCTGTATTGTAGACTTCTTTACCTAACAGACCTGGGTAGATCAAGAAGTGGGAATGTTTGCAAATCCTTTGTTTGATAAAATCCGTTGTTTGATAAAATCCGTTGTTCTGTGGGTTTGATATTCTGTATATTGATTTCTTTATAGAAATATTGTTTGTTTTTCCTTACGTTTTATATGACGAAATCAAACAAGGATCAGTAGATGCACCTAAATCCGGGGTAACATTTCATTCACCCAATTTCATCCCACTTACATCCCACCCAAACTCATGCTTGGCATTGAAATCATTCAGGTATCAACTCTACACAGCCCTCAATTTCCAGCACTCATTCGAGAGGATAGTAAAATATAGATTGGAAACTCTAACACCAACGCCAAAACCTCATGAAAATGTCTACTCCTAGAGTTTCTCGCACAGTATTCCGCGCGATCCGGTCGCGCGTGGAAGTTTCATCTGGAAGATCTTATACCGCATCACAATTCTCAACAAGCTGTCGTAACAATTTCGGTACTCGGATTCGAGATAGCGGTTTGAAGAATTTTGGAATCTTGGGCGGGCAGGTGTCTCGACATGTTAGACAAGTTAGGACATACTCGCAAGAAACCGAAAATAAATCCAAACACTACACATTCGAAGATGTTTGTCTCTCCTCCATCTCCGCTCCTTCCACCTCTCTTGCCAATCAGCTAATCACCTAAGTCTCTGTACAGATGCAAACCCTTACCTCTGCGCCGCACCCAGACACCCATATAATCGATGTCCGTACGCCCCTCGAATTACAGCAAACAGGCCGTATCCCCGGTGCGGTTAATATCTCGATAACGACAAATCCGGATGCATTCAGTATTAGCGAAGAAGAATTTGAGGATCGATTTGGGTTTGAAAGACCGCCGAAGGGGGAGGAGTGTGTGTTTTATTGTAAGTCCGGGGTTAGGTCGAGGGCGGCGGCGGAGATTGCGAAGGGAAATGGGTGGGTGAAGGTGGGGGAGTTTGAGGGGAGTTGGCTAGTGTGGAGTGCTAAGGGTGGGAAGGCGGAGAAGTGAGGGAAGATTTGGAGAATTGAAATTGATGGTAATCAGGGAATTGCGTGAGGTTGTGAGTGTTGCAGATACTCGTTGAACATTTGGAGGGGCATAATTTCAAGGACTATGTCGTTGATGAGTGGCATGCTATGAGCAGTAGATGGATGGCAATGTACATGATCAGGAGGAATCAAAGTTGTGAAGAAAACCTCTAGCTAAGTAGCGAGAAACAATCTTCTATCTAACGTTCTATCATTTCATATGTTACGCTAGAAGCAATATACGTTTATATGAACCTCAAGCTTGACTTTATATTCAATATCGGATGTTTTTTTGTTTTTTTTGAGGACAGCTCAATTCATATACTTGTACAGAAAATTCCTTCTCTTGCCCTCTATTCCATTTATGTTTGTTCTCTTTAATTCCTCAATAGATGCATGCATGCATCCATAAAGTCAGTTCTTTTTATGAATCTTTTTCACCATCTCCAATCGATCTTGTCGCGATTAGCTTTTCTACGAATTATGTTTCATTTCTCTATTTCACTGTATATTTACATACCTACTGGGTAGATACATCTATTTCTTCTACAATACTGTATTACTCAATCATAGGATGGACATACTACAGTATAGGCATCCATTGATAGTTGTATCCAAACTTGTTACATACTACATTGGTCTATGCAAGGTCTTGTGGAGTGGCCCAGGGGAAATTGTGCTCGAAGATGTCTTGTTTCGCCAGCAGCAGAACGAAACCATGGATCTTTCGAATCTGCATATATACCCTGAAGTTTATGCACACTGGTGATATCTTGAATGACAGCGCTTATTATTATAATTATCAGTGCAGTGTGAAACAAGGATACATTTGTAGTCTTAATAACACAGGCTACGGGTGTAGTCACAGTTTTGCAATGTGCACACTTGCATTTTGCGGAAGTCTATGGGCCTTGCAAACTCATCACTGTTGTTAGAAGAGTTTTGAAAATGGCCTACTTCAAGTAGTCCGTAACAGATATCACCAGCTTACGTTCCCACCATCTTCTGGGTATATTTATTGAATAATGAAACACCAATATTAAGCTGCTAAATGTGAAGAAAAGGTCCACCAGCCAACTAAATTTTAGACAACTAGCCAATTAGACAGTCTAACCTACTTAGTTTCCTCTTTCTAGCTTTAGTGCTTAGTGCCCTATATTGAAATTCGGAACATCCGTAACGGTAGGATTCTGCTAACATATTGCCTAGTTGGACTTACACCGTTCAGTTCGCAGTGAACCCTTTCAGTCCTCCTTGCCCAAACTGTACAGTTCAGCACAGTTTCATCCCGCTCGGCGCAGCGCCAGAAACAGAAAATCACTGTGCACTCATCATGAGCGAAGCATCGATTAATTGTGTAGCGTGTGAACAAATCATCAAGTTCTTTAACACTGCTACAGAAGGGGATACAATCTCGTTAGGATTCATCTTCACTTGTTGACACAGAATTCCCTCATACGAGAGTAGATCAAGCAATTTGACCGAGATGGCTCCTCGATTCAGGGCTGCTTTGAGTCTAAAATTGATATGATTAAAGGCCATGCAGCTATAGAGCTGAGATTTAACTGAATTGGAGAGCTTGGCCAAGACGCCATTTTTAACTCGTTCCGAGAATGAACGATGAGCGCTTAAATTTGGAGCATACATGTATTATTGATCCGGCTTGGATTGATGAGAAAATTATCTTGAATTGGAAAGATCTCTGCAGAGAGCATCATGGAAATGGGTGTCAGTTTCCTGAAAACTTTGAATGCATTGAATCAATACGACTGACATGGTTGGTTGATATTTTGGCTGGTTGTCTTGTTCCTAGTTTAGCCCATACAAAGTTTATCACATTAAGCTATACCTGAGGATAGTTCCGTCTTTCCAAACCGAGAGAAATATCACCGATCAGCAGCAAGAAGGGGGAGTTCTAACGGTATTGCCCCATCGCGGAAAGGCTGCCTAGAGCAATCAGAAATGCTATTGATGTTGTTCGGCTGTTTGGCGCGCGATATATCTGGGTTGACGTGTTGTGTATTGTCTAAGATGATGCGGAAGCTTTGCAAATGGCGTTAAATTCTATAGCTAGGATTTACTCTAGTTCCTGTGAGCACAATTTCTTCGGTTTGAGGCATTTTTTGGTCAATATAGTTACTAACCTACCACCTGCTCAGACATTATAATCGTAGCTGCGAATGGCATTGATGCGAGCTGTGGAATTCGAGGATTTAAGGGGCTGAACTCCCAACGAGAGTTCAAACAGGATATACTGTCAATGGTATCCCCGGTAAATCTAATCTTCTCTAGAAACAGAGATGAAAGGGCTTAAAGTGCATATCACTCACGCACTTGGACGTACCAAGAATATACTGTGCCAAACGACGCCTTATATTTGAAAATTGAACTGTCTACTAGGAAAGCAACAGATCTAGGGGAAGTGAAGAATTAATCTCCGATCTGCCTCTGTTTAGAAAGCAATCTATAGCGCCATGGGAGTATTCAGATTTGTTTACGCTTTCCAGTTTTCCAGATTTGAAGAGCATGAATTATCTCTTGGCTTTGGAGAGGGGCGACACTCAAGCAGGAAACATACGTCAGAGCTTCCCAGCTGGTCATTTCTTGAGCGGCAGGTTAGTGTAACTTTCAAAGATGATTATGGATTCCTGGCAGGCTGGCGGACTAGAGGTGAGAACTTGAAAGGTGTTCGTTGACTTGTTACCACTTGGTAGATAATGGAGCATCTTATATATATCATTGAAAAAACAACGAGTTGAATCGAATTGGTACGAGTATAAAGTTCTGGCAGAAGTCATCGCGCAAGAGCCCCTCCAATGATGGGAGCGTACTCGGGAAAATGGCAGGAATATGGTCATTTGCATGCGAACTCTCCGTATAGGTGATACGAATATCTGGTCCGCTTCTAGATTGCTATAGCATGGACCTTCCGCAACCACAGACGCAACTCCTGTTCTGCCAGACCTCAGATGCGTTTCTACACGGCATACCAGACGTTTCTGCAATAGAAAGAAAGGAGTCTTCTTCTTCGTCTGAACTCAAAAAGTACAATAAATTCAATAATTTTAAGCTCCAAGATGAGAATGGGGAAGCCGTTGCGCTTCTCGCGCTTATGCGCGAAAGCGATAGTTACTGTTTTGCGGAGAATATAACACCCAGAGCGGTAGTAAAGCTCGTTGCCATCTCAGAAGGATGATTTGGTATCAATAATAAGAGCAGCGAGGAGGGGAAAAGGAGATCAAGAACTAGATCTTTCGGTTTATGACGCGTCAAGATTATTATCATGTATTATAGGTGGAGTGGGAAGATGAGACGGCCTATCGGAGGGGTAGTGGATGTGTTTTTAAAGAGGTGTGCGAGGGAAGGATAGAGGAAGCGCTGGTTGATTTGATATTGAGATCATGTCGAATATTTCTCTACTTGGTATGTATATTGAGTAGGCAGTAAGTTATTGTGTTGCGCTCGAAATGCTAAATGGTCTGATACAGATGATAACATATTGTGGTCAGTAAAGAAGTGCAACAGAATAGGCTTAGGACAGAAATATGCAGATTGCAATCAAAGTTATGCGATTTATTTAGCTTCAGTGAGTAGCTGTTGTGGTTCAACAGCTTGAGCGGTAGTTCTTTTTTCCCTTTTCACCTCTATTGGAGCTCAATGAGATGTGCGATTATGTTACGAGTACTTGAACCCCTCTCATTTAGTTTTCCAATTGTCAGTGTCACATCAGACCCGCATAAAAAGCTCCCAATCGATTTATTCAACGAATACGTATAGTATATCCTTTCCTAACCTATCCAAACAGCTATTATCGATTAACTCGTAGCATTCCACACCATTACCATATACTAATGAATTTCAACCATCTTCTCTTCCTATAGACACTAATCACAATTTTGCCATCATTTGTTGTGAGCAAGAAAGAAAGTGCATCTCAATTCGAATACGAGTATCCCGCCATCAAGGACCTCTTGGATCCCAAGCCCTCTCCAATATATGATAGATATTTTTGGCCTGGCCGGCGGCTGAGTCTGACACACTTGCTCGGTCGACATATCCAGATTTGATGTAGGAGGGAGGTAGATGTGTATGTACTTGTTAGTTGTGAAGGTGTACCTGAAGCAGGAGCTCGGTTCCAACACGTGCACATCAGAGCACCAGAGCTATTTCCCCAAGCCTTAAACGATTTGGCTGAGCTCAACCTACCACGTTGTAAATCTTAAATTGATAAACGGTTTTATCATCCTAAAAGGCAGTCAGCGGAAGGGGTTGGCATTACAGTTACAATTACATTTGCAGTAACATCCGTTATTGTGACTATCGATACTGGAATTGTGGTAGGAGTTGAGGTAGTTGATAGAATCATACTCCGATTCTCCAGCGGGATATATTGAGGAGAGCACTACTGAATCGGCGTAGGTAAAGGAGAACTTGTCTGTAGTATCAGCTTTTCGGCTATTTATTTCCTATTTTCGCTTAAACGTTCATCGGGTGATCGATCCAGATGTTAGATTTTTCAAAACGGGATGATTGTAATTTTTATCTTCCCTGGTGTTAGCTATTTATTGTATTTAAGTACGTATGCTATGAAAACTCCAGAAAGCTTTCTCCATTTCTCCATTTCTTCACAGAAGACTTTTGCTATTTATTCTCAATTGATACCAGAAAATAAGGAAGGTTTCATAGCATTTAGGTATTTAGGAACTTTTAGGTCGATACATGCAAAACAAAACAAAGAGCTGCCTTTAATACCAAGATCCTAGCTTCCCACTCTCTCCTCGATACAGAAGCCAGACGCTTCGTGGCGATGCAAGGTCGAATTACATTTACTGTCCTCTCGCTCAGTTTCATTTCACTTCATCTCATTTCACTCTCCATGAGCGAAATGGCTTTTCTCGATGTTCGCCTCAATTGTGATAGATCTGATACTGCGGAGATCACTTGTCCAACTCCCCATCCAACCCCTCATAAACAACCAACCAAAAAAGTCCAAAAAAAAAAGACTATCCATCCAAGTCCCTAGACTCATATGGCACCTATAAACTTATAGACCAGACATCAAACCACAAACCACAAATATCTCACCTAAGACCTTAAATCAAAGATCTTAAACCAAAAATCCTCCTCTCGCCCCCCAAAGCCAAACTCACAAACCCCCCAGCCTCTCAAACCCGATGAATAAATCCACTTAAATTCCCCATTATAGCTATCTATTAATCATTAAACTCCAGTTGAATCATATGAACTTATAAATTATTATTCATATGAACACCGGACATCGAGTTCCGAGTCTGAAATAAATGCTAAATAATAGAGTAGTAGATAGACTACTTGAACTCTAAGTGCCCCCCTTTCCCCCCAAGAAGAACTTGTTACTATCAAATTTGAAATTTATCCAATATTGAAATTTAACAAAAAGCAAGAGATTAAAGAAATGATGTTGAATGAGAAAGGTAATTGTAGTATTTGGATGGAAATTTGATCGTGTACACTTTGGTATAATGTGATGTGATGTGCTTTGCTTCATAACCTGTGTGTACATTCAAGAAATTGGTTGTGTTCGGATATCAAGTACCTAGTTACACCACCTATTTTCTAGGATTTCGTTAATATCACGACTAGGCTAATCCAAGCCTGTCGATTCAAATCCTCAAACAAGACCATATAGGTAGATAATCATACAGTCCACTTTCCTTGCGCTCCCCTCCCCCTCTATTCCCTTAACCATTCCCCATCTATTTCTTCTTTCTACCCGACAAACCCCTCTTCTCCGCATTCTTCGTCTTCCTCGCATTTGCCTTCCTCCACGCCGTCCACCTATCCCCCGGTTTATACAAACGCACCTTAACCTGAGCCCTCTCCGCCGCACGCCCAATCTCCCAATTAGCTTCCCGATACATATAGCCGGGTCTCAACTGTAAATTTCTCCCCTCCTCCCCCTTCCTCTCCTTCTTCTTCTTCTTCTCCTTCTTAACCTCCGAACTCGTATTCGCATCTGTCTCCACACTAACCTCTACTTCCACAGGAGCAGTCTCCGGCTCAACTATCTTTGCGATTTCCATCCCAAGACGACGTCGTCGAATAGTATTCCGTGGTAGTGGGAGAACTTGTTCGCGCTTGAATACTACGCCGATATATTGGCGTTTGGGATGTCGTTCCGGATCTTTGTAGTATTTTACATAGCCGGGTTGGGTAGCATAAATTGTATGATCGCGTCCCATTGCGCAATTATCACCTGGGAACCAATGGGTACCTCGTTGACGGAATATTATGTTACCGGGAATGACATATTGTTCTATTCATGTATGTATTGATTAGCATCTTTCAAAAGTTTGTAACTTCGGATTCAATCTCCAATTTCTGGGAAACGAGAGGAACAAAAAAAGACATACCGCCGGATTTCTTAGCACCCAGTCTTTTTCCAGGTCCATCTTTTGCTTTATTCACGGCTCCCTGCGCAGCGTGAGATGCATGACGAATGGTGATGAGAGGGGCAAGAGGAGATGAAGATGGTTTTTTGAATGTGAGATTTGTGAGGGCTTCGCAAAGATGGGTTTCTGCTGCGGACGCGGAGGAGGTGCGTGTAATTGAGGTTATGGCGCCTCGTATAGGAGGCTGTAGGCGTTGGAGTAACATCTTGGGGATGTGTGGATTGGGGTTACGGAAGTGGTGATATTTTTATGAAGCTGGTGATGTTTTTACGGGGACCGTGAGGGGCGGGGTGTGCTGTTGTTATGGAAAGTTCAATAATGCGTTGGAGGAGATGTAATTTTGTGGAAAGTTGGATTTATTGTTGTAAATAGAGTATTTGAGAATAGAACTCTCTTATCTCCTGTAAATCTTCTTTTTAAAATACAAAAATTACACATTCTCCCTCAACCCCCCAATTTTGACATCCCACCACCTTACAGTCTCCCGTAAAATTTCTCACCACCTGTCAATATCAAGCTAGCTACCATCCATCACTATCAGCTAGATAGGTATCAAGCAATTCATAAATACATCAACATCCAATCCAATTCACAGCACATCCTCAATCCCCAAACCCATCCTTTCCTCCCCCCAAAAAATGTCAAAACTACTCTTCTCCTTCCTCCTCCTCATAATAGGAGTATCGGCCCAATTCCAATTCTTCGAACAAATGTTCAACAACGGCGGCCAACAACATCATCATCATCAGCAACCACAAGATGTACCCAGCGATTCACAATGGTATCAAGATAACTACGATCGAGGTGAATATATACTTATTTAATTTCCTCTTCAATCCTCCCCTTCCCCCAAATTTCTTCCTTCCTTTCCTTTTATCCCCCGAAAGTAAAAAAAACATCCATAAAAAAAATACACAACTAATATACCAAAAAGCACACTGCTCCGGCTACCTCTGTCCAGGCACCCTCTCCTGCGTCGCGGTTCCCCATCACTGTCCCTGCGCCCACCCAGTTTACGAAGAGAAATTCGAGTTGGCGGATGGGAATGCGATTTGTATATCCAAGGGGGGGTTTAAAGCAGGGGAGGCGGCGAGGAAAGTCGAGTTGGCGAGGAAGGGGTTGATTTGATTTGATTTGGGTTGGTTTAATGTGATTTTTAGGGGAGAATGATTTTTGGGATGTTAGGGTTGTTAGGGTTGTTAGGGAGCAAGCAAGCAAGTAATGGAGTTATTTTGTGGGATTTTTGGACGTGGAGAGGTGGATGAGAGGGGAAAGAGGAGTGTGATATGGAGATGAAAGGGGATGGAAACGGGGAGTTGGTGAATGAGGATAAGAATTAAATATAGATGGGCATGTAGGAGATCAAAATGTTGGAAGGATTTCAACCCAACAGCCTAATTGAAACAAAAGAATACTAACACATACATCAGTTCGTGCTTTCAAAATACTGCCGACTTTTGAAATCCGCTTACTATGTAGAAGTTCCCAAGACAGGTGTATTTCTATGACAGTAAAGTACGGCATCATACAAGGAAAGTGATTGATGAGGCATAATATCATATTGAACTACCCTGATTTACACAGACATCGTGTGCATATAATACAAAACCAGATATTGACGCCAAGTACTTCCGCGAATCCTAATATAACCATCTACTCCGGTGATCCATGCCTTCCAACCATAAAAAATTCCCAGGGAATCAAAACACGACCCAAAGGAATCAAACCAAACCCATGCTCGCTTGCCGTAAAAATTCAGGAGCAGACTCATTTTGACGCCAAAACTCCATCTATCCATATTCATCATTTCCATATCATCCATACGTTCCATCCATCATTCATCAACCGCCGGTACTACTAAACTCTAAGAATATATATTCTGACTTTCGTAGTATTGTAGAGATTGTCGGATATAAAGTGTTACTATTCCAAGTTCATAGATGTAAAGAGAAAAAAGTCGTTATCATTTTGTGATGAGGTGAATAACATCAGGGTAACAGTGGCAATATCATGCTGTCGCACTAGGTTCGGCAGCGGAGGCTGCTTGTGACCGTGTTCTTATTCGGAAACTGTTTCGGAGTCGGCCAGCAAGTCTAGTTCTTCTGCTTTGTTCTTCAGCTACATCCTGATTTGACACTTCCCCTTCTTGCTGGGGTTGCTCGCGCGCCAATTCACGAAGAGCAGCAATGCTCTCTTCAGGAGGGGCATGACGAAGATGCATAAGACGAGAAATGCGGTGACCAGGCCCAGCCTCTCCGTTTTCAGAAACATTAGCTGTGTGTTCACTAGCTGTTTCTCCCTCATGTGCTTCCAGTGGTGGTGGAAGTTCTTCGTCTTCATTTTGGGCATGGGTTACTGTAGGTCGCAAATCATGACGACTACAAAAGTTAGTATGTGTTCAGAAATAAGAAGAGAAAAAGCCTACCATAATGGGCAAGTCCCCGAAACATTCAATAACCAAGGATCTATGCAAGCAGGGTGGTACTTGTGGTGACATGGAAGAACCCGAACGTCTTCACCCGTAGCAAAATCTTCTGTACAAATCGAACATTGCAAAAGATCGTCCTCCTTGGGGACTGCTGAAGCTTCGTTAGCTCCAGAACTAGGCTCCACGTCAGATCCCATCCCAGATTGCTCAGAAGTCGCAACGACTGCCGCTGTGGTTGATGCTTTAGGAATGTCTTCAGTCGTAGCACTTGTTGCAGTGGCAACAGGAGCATGATGAACACTGCCATTTTCTAATTCAATATCACCACTTCCGGGTTTGCCCGGTTCTGGGTCCCCAAACTTCACAATGGGTAAAGTCTCCAACATAGCACGTGCAAGACCCTTTGCTCGACTTTGCCTAGGCCTTCCTGGAAAAGCGTTGCGAGGACCATATCTTTCCGGATGCCTGTGAGCTCGAACAGCACCAGTACCTATGATTATTAGGAACAGTAAAGTGATTATTCCAGTAATACTGTATAGAATGCTCATGGCAACAGCTGTGGTCGGTGGTGGGCCCCCATTATTACTAGTCTGTGATGGGGAACTTGAGCTTGATGGGTCTTGATTCTGTTGAATTTTCGCAAGCAACAATGAACTAGAAGTAAAGTTTCGTAAAGTAATGAGCAAAGCCATTGAGTCAGAAGCAGAAACCATCGTATAAATCGAGCCATAAGTAGAATCTCCGGTGAGACTGCACTCTTGAGAATACAAGCTATACAGCAGTATACCCTTTGGTCTCACATTTCCTGCCATGATGATAGCTTCTGTTGAATCGATGTTGGAGGTTTCGTTCGGGTCACAGCTCATGTATGCTATAGTGGTGCTCGATAAATTACTCGCAGATGTCGCATCTGTTATGGCAATGGATCCGTTTAACAAAATTTGCTATTTCATGCTACGTTAGCAGTTTTTCTCATGCCATACATAAACAATCAGTATTAGGAGTTCTTTGCGTACACCCACGGAATTGTCAGCTTGTCCCTGACCGGCGAAAGAAGTGAGCGGGGCAACATTGTACATATTCCGGACCATGGGCAGACTAGTTCCCGACAGTAAAGTCAATTGCATATCAGGTGTTGTCATGTTAGCCGGTAAAGTATCATTCGAGGGTGTGAACGAAGGCGCGGTAGTAGTTTGCCCAGCGACCAAAGCGACGAAGAACATGAGGGACAATATGCATTCCGCCATGCTCCCTCCCATATCCGGTAGAAACATGATTGAGATGAGATGCGATGAGATGAGATGATGGAGTGAGGAAATGACAAAAGAACAGAGGACAGAGCAAGCAGAAAGATAAACGGAAAATGGTAGACAGCCAACACAATCTTTTGATCAAGACTTCACATATCCATTGACTTGAGAGAATCAAATAATTAGTAGTGGTAGAGAGGGATCATTCCCACTACATACTACTAAAATAAGTTGAAGTGAAACTCTCTTCTTGGCGGGATCTGTTTTAAAAGAAGGCCGTGGTCAAACTCAATTTGGATTAGCGTGGGGTGTCGGCAGAGTTGGATCTCCGTGCGTTAGAAATGTAAGACAAGTACGGAGTTGATAGATGGAAGGATCACTCTCTGGCTTTGGCTTTTCTTGTTGATGGATCTCTTTCTCGATATGATTTTGAGTTTCTGCGCTGTGACGATGTGACGACGTGACGATTTGTGTGGAGAGGAGGGGAAGGTGGAGGGGAAGGTGGTGTGTGATGATAAAAAAAAATGAAAGTATATGTAGATAGGTATGTCAAGGTGGGGATAGAAATAATATATACGGAGTAGTAGTCGTTGTCGCTCTCAAAGTTGTTGAAGAGATGCTAGATATAAGAAAAGAGATAGGAACTTGATGGAATGCGGAGAAGAGTGAATATAGTAACTCACTAGAACTACTACCTCCCTGTCTAGGTTAAGGTTACAACTAACTAGGTATACTAACTAAAATAAGTTCTTGATGATTCCAAAGGGACTTTTTAATGATTACTGTACGTACTCGAGTATACCATACCATGCGATCCATACCAATATGCATTGACACGGATGAAGACTACCGACAGGATATGATATCAAGACTCTGAATCTGGAGATTGTGGGACAAAGAAAAGAAAAGAAAAAAACACAAATCATTGATTTCCGTTCCCCGCTCCAGCCTCAATCTCCTGTGTTCCTTTACTGGTCATGCTGATCTGAATCCTTACATAATCATTAATGATTTGACATTCCAAAAAGTCCCGTCTGCATGTGAATACCTTCCTATTTGGAAATAATTGTCATGAGATCGAATCTCAAATCTAGTCAATTCTAGTAATTCTCTTTAAGTGTCAAAACTACTCGGATAACCTTACCAGCTTCAATTAATTGCCTGAGGTCGGTCGGTTATTGGTGATGAAACTCCTTTCCTCCTTTTCTCCTTTCACTCAAAAACATTATGCGTTATTAGTAATGGTGACTTAGTAATAGTGACAAAAGTTCTTAGATTCCTAAAATCTTTCATTCCCGTCATCAAGAAAAGCCCAGCGACGGCCAAGGTGTGTAGTATGTACGGCATAGTGTAACTCGTCTTATCATCCAATGATATCGCTTATTGCCACCTTTCCCTTCTCTTGGTAAATCTTGGGGAAACCATCAATAATTCCTCTTTTTTCTTTCCACATTCTAGAACACAGCCGTGTGCTGTGCTACAAACTTTCTTTGTTTTGCATTCGCTCAGCCCCTTTTCGTTGTCTAATCGTGTACGTCACACACACTCAAAAGAATAGCTTACTTACGTGGTATTTAGTGCCAATTACTATTCGATAGCATCTTATTGTTCTCGGCTTTTCCGGCTCTCTCTCTTATTCGGTTTTCTCGGAAGCTTTCTTTCTCAGCTCACATCTTTCCCAAGGCTTTCAAAACGATTAGAAGCTCACCAAAAGCTTAGGAAAAACTTGTGGAGAACTTGATATAACAAAGGTCGCATTTTGGCTTACTAGTCTCTTGTCCTCGGCCTATTGGTGTCATTCGGTCTTAGCGTTTTAGATCTTTTTTCCTCCTTAACTATTTGTTGATCCTTACTTGTCGCCTTCCGCAGCACGGCGAACCCTTTTTTGACACATGGGATCTAGCAATCGTTGCCCGTCCCTCCCACATGAAAAAGTCCATCTGGGGTAGTGCAAACTTTATTCTCCACAAATTAACACCAAGAGAAAATAGTCACATGTCAATGCCACCTTGGTAGATCTTGAAGTCTCTTGATTGTTTCGGCGTAGACGTTTTATCTTGCCTTAATATCCTATGTACACTTGCACGGTCTTGCCATTTCCATCTTGCCAATTTCTACCCCGCTTGTTCGTATAATGCATTGTCTTGTTCACATAATATCTTCAGTGAGGAGTATATATGGTCTGAGACTCAAAAAAGGTCAAGGCCGTAGCATGTTATCATTTCTAGTTTGGGAGTCAGTTGTTGAAAGATTCAATCGTTGTGTTATAAAAATATCATCGAGACTCTCGGTGCTTTATCATGAAAAGTATTCTTCAATAGTGAATAAAATGTGGTTGAGCCAGTCACTCTCACTCTCGCCTCCAATCATCAAACATCCATAAAAATGCTCGCTAATCCCCCAACTAAAGATCCATCAAAAGCTTCACACAAGCAAGAGCTTTAAAACAAAAGAGCTCAAACCTCAAGAACCGGAATGATAACCCCCAAGGGGCAAGTGTTTGTAAATAATGCTCATGTTTCGCGGCGTTGCCATTCGTGGTATCTAGTTCTTCTGCCGTAGGCAAAGTTTAATCCTCGTTTTAAGCGATAACAAAAGTCTTGAACATCTCTGGCTCATGTCGTATGAACTTCTGAGAGCTTGTCCTTGCACCTCTTTTGTTGATGGGTCCTTCACCCGTACCACCCTCTTCCCATTCCCTCTTCCCATTCCCTCTTCCCATTCCCTCTTCCCATTCCCTCTTCCCAGCCCCTTCTATTTGCCAATCATCTAAATCCAAGCTATTATATTTATAATTTGTACCTTATCTCTTACATTCACACATACATATCTCACATTGTGGTAGCATAACAAGGTGTATTATTTCAAGCACCACCGCTCAGGATGGGCATCTCACATGGTAGAAATCTAGTTGCACTTCTCACCACTGCACCAGCCTCTCCGATGAATTTCATTTGCATTTGTGATTATATAGGTAGTATGTCCGCCGGTGCGGCTTACTACCGCTTGCAATGCAAATAACGAGAACCTAGGTCAATGAATCGATGTATATCCTTAGAAAACTTCTTAAAGAATGATGGATTTGTGAGTCAAAGTGAACCTATGAGTCTGTTGGCCATCTTCTTCAGTCAAAATGACTGGGCGAAAAAGATCAGCAAAATTGACTCTGGGGAGTCTTCAAGTAATTCCAATCTTGCCCTACAGTACTCGAATATTTCTAGCTAGACAACAATCAACTTATTGTCTCTATAGCAAAAGGTTCTACATTCAAAACACGGTACAAAATATCTCCGACCGCACGCATTTGGATACTTCCATGTATGATAAGTCTACTTGCCAAATATTCGCTTCCTGTCTAGGACGATTAATTATCATCGCAAAGACATCCCATAAGAGTCATCAAGCACCTTCCATCTTGGGCGAATTTAAAATAAGCAAACCCTCCTTTTTTTTTTAAAGAAAAAACCTTCAGGTCCCTGCTCAAATACAGGAACTCTGTGGGCACTCTCATCCTCGAGAGTCGAGATGAGCAAAAAATGCACACTCCGTAAACAAATTTTCAAAACTCTCCAATAAATACATCCTTCTATCTCACAAAAACTCTCATTCTCATCATATTATACCATTATTCGAACCCCAAACGCCAGTACGGCTTCATCTTTACAGCCAAGCTATCCAAGACTCTCACTCCTATAAACCCAAACCAGCCGATTCACATACAGAGAAATTTTGAAAATAGCTACTCTCGAATGTTGAAAAATCGAGGTTTTTATCTTGTTTGGTGCTGCTGACTGATTGACCAAATCTTTGAGATCTGGTAGCGATACTGGAAGAAGCGGCTAGCTGATTAACTAATCGTTAAGTCTCCTGACTCTAAATAGGAGAGATATGATACTTAGTGCTCATGCATCTATATTTCAATACCTACTAGTTTGAAGTAATGTACTAGAATTATTTTAGCATATCATTGATTTTACTCGAGATTCTAGTAATAATGATATAAAAACTCACTTCCTCTCTAGAAGAGTTCACAGGTCATTGTAGTAATTAACTACTTGTTAATTTATACTTTATACGTAAGCTTCCGCACTCTCCTTACTATAGAGGTGAGATCAGATGAAATTTGCATCCTTCATTTTCTCTATGTATTGATTGTAATATTGTAATATTGTAATAATGTAAGACTTAACTCCATCCGCTAGGCTAGATATCTTCGTATAATTAATAATAAGTAAATATCCGCGGAACATTGGGTTCAGTATTAGTAATTTTAGATTTTGAATTTGAATTTGAGTTTGACAAAAAGAATAAGATAATTTACTAAACATTCATAAACTGGCCGCTCTATTGCTGTATGTATATGATTTCGGTGAAATGCAAAATAATTTCTTTCTATCTAGGAAACTCGAAGATTAAAGACGAAATTGCAAACTTAAGAGTATCAATCAGAAAGTCAAAAAGGAGTACAATCCATCTTACCACTCCATCAAGCCTTCCCATTCAAAACACTCTTCTCATCAAAAACATCCGACTCAATCTCCTCACTATATTTCAAACCCCCCTGTCTCCTAACCTCATCCATAACCCCCATAATAACCTCACTCTCCCTCCAATCCAACACCTCACTTTCCTTCTTTCCATCTCTCAAACACCTTCCCACTTCATCCGCCTCCCACGCCATCCCATGTCCCCAATTCTCCCTCCCAGGGTCCCGGGGAATCTCACAATCCACCGTCTTGAAATCCCCAGCCTCATTCGCATTCTTCAAAACGCTATATCTCAATGGTCGATACGCGGGACCAAAAACCTGAATTTCTCCCTTTGTGCCTTGGATTCTTATCGTAGGAGCTTCATCTTTACTCGCGTGATTAGGAGCATCTGGTTGCGTCGCAACTCTCATTCCTGTCGTTGCAATTCCTACGCTTTTATTCTTGGGGAATTGTAATATGATGCTTGTTTGTTCATCCACGCCCGTTTTCTCATATTTCTGCACGGCGGCGAGAATGTTGGGGATTTCGCGCTCAGATGATGAACAGGGTTGACAATGGTAGAGGATTTGAAATACCCAGGTTATGGCATAGATACCGAGATCTAAGAGGGCACCGCCTGCCAGAGCAGGATTTATCATGCGGTTTTCAAGAGGGAAGTTGAGGCTTCCATCATCATTTGCTTCGGCGATTGAAAGATCTGCAAATACTCGATGCACTTCCCCGATTTCTTTATTTTTAACCAATTCTCTGACTTGAATACTCAAGGGAAAATATCTAGTCCATACCGCTTCCATGAAAAACAAATTCCTCTCTTTAGCGGTCTCGAATAGTTTTCGTGCTTGAGCTGCATTTACAGTGAGGGCTTTTTCACACAAAACATGTTTATTGGCACGTAGTGCTAACATGGCATTTTGAAAATGATGCGAATGAGGAGTGGCAATGTAGATTACGTCGACATTGGGATCATTGACGAGTTCATGATATGAACCGTATGCTTTGATACCAGCAGGAGCTTTTATTTCCTTGAGGAAGGTCTCGGCGCGGGAAGCGGAAGATGAGGATGCTACTGCTGTGATGGTGTGTTGAATATCGTGGACGTTACGAGTGGCGGGATTGCAGAGGATGTCTTTGCAGAAGGCTGGATGTGGTAGTTAGCAGGAAGCTCTGGGGATTTGAAGGATTGAAAGGGTGGATTACTGGTTGCGATTCCTCCTGTAGCTAAGATACCCCATTTTACTTCATAAGGTTTGGATGCCATTGTTTCGTTTGTATGTACTACTCTGTTTACTTGTGATGAACTGGTAAACCACGTATACTAGCTGATAGATATTGTCGGTAGATAAGCAGTTTTATGAGATATGTAAGCAGTGAGCAAGCTTGAGAAATAAAATAATGACGTACGAGATACAACACTGGTGCAAGTGCGTATGTATGGAGTTGGTTCATAAATATTTATTATTTAACCTTATCTCGGCCAACATTCAACCTAAGCTCA